TCTCCATCAGAGAGACCTATTTCTCCCAGAGTTGACTTTCCTCAGTCTGTTTATATGTCTTAACTTTGCCTCCTCTATCAAGGAGGTAATCCATTACCTCACCAGGAGCAGATTATGACTAATTTGGTTCTTTTGCTTTTCCTTTAAGGTACTGGGGTTTTGGCCTCATCACCTACTCTCCATTTCAAGGTGGTACCTATCAGGGCTTACTTTTAACTACTGCTCTGAGCCCTGTTGTCTTACAGCTCATCTTTCAAGTCATATATCTGGATGAACAAATGTTATTTGCCAGGAGCACATTTTGACAGTGTTTGTTGTCTTATCCAATGCCTCCTGTGTCTAGACAGGCTTGTCTTGGAGATCGTGGATTTGTGTATTCTCCATTGCTGGTCAGGCTTCCTGTGGTTACTTTTGGGCTAATAGTAGGTCAATGTCTACTGACAGGTGAGCTTCTCTTGTCTTCTCATTCAGGATATCTGTCTCCTACAAACCTCACTCAATTTGTTTCCTCTTGCTCAGGGGTCTGCTGTTGTCTTCCAGAGATTGAGGCCCCATTATCACACAGTTTTGTGGTTTGCAGGGCAAATAGTGCTCATTCCCATTGCTGATGACAATTTTTATACACTAGCTTCTTGGCTTGTTGAACCGGTTCTTGTTCTTATTTTGCTGCTTCCTCTATTATTTTCTGTTGTGAGGGTTTTACCTCTTCCAGCCTTTGGTTTGTATTTTTAGGGCTTGTAACTGACTTGATGTCTAATGTTGGACTCTCTGAACCAGCTTCTCCCAATCAGACTCCTCTCATCTTGACTGCTAGCCAGTTAACCCAACACCCTATGTTGGGGTAAGAGTCATCTTGTAGGAAACTGGTCCAAGCAATACCCTTTTTCATAACAGAACTGGAAAATTAGGCCATTCCCCCCTACAGTTATAGGCTTGCTGCAGTCTCTTAGCATTCTGACCCTCAGCTTGCTTATCCAATCTTGCAGTTTTCTCTAGTTCTGCTCTCAGATAGACCTGTGACCTTCTGTATACACATAGGCTGTGTCTAGACTGGCCAGTTTTTCCACAAAATCATCTGCTTTTGCGGAAAAACTTGCCAGCTGTCTACACTGGCCGCTTGAATTTCCGCAAAAGCACTGACGATCTCATGTAAGATTGTCAGTGCTTTTGCAGAAATACTATGCTGCTCCCGTTCGGGCAAAAGTCTTTTTCCGAAAAACTTTTGCGTAAAAGAGCCAGTGTAGACAGCAGAGATTTGTTTTCCGCAAAAAAGCCCCAATCGCAAAAATGGCGATTGGGGCTTTTTTGTGGAAAAGCGCGTCTAGATTGGCCACAGACGCTTTTCCACAAAAAGTGCTTTTGCGGAAAAGCATCCTGCCAATCTAGACGCGCTTTTCCGAAAATGCATTTAACGGAAAACTTTTCCGTTAAAAGCATTTCCGGAAAATCAAGCCAGTGTAGACGTAGCCTACAGTGTGCACTGGCAGATGTTGATCTAATTTCACTGCTGGGTGACTACTTCCCCAAACTAGCATCTGACTGCACCCGAAGTCAGTCCTCTCATTTCCAGACATCATTTTAGCAGTTACCTGGTAGGCCAATGTGCACCCTCAGTAGCAGTCCAAAATAGTCAGACTCTTATGAGTGGATAGTGCTTTCTTATATGAACCTGTTGGCCACACCAGAAACACATGATGGGGTTCTGCTGCCTGCTTCTCATCCCAGATACCTGCTGTTGTCTTCCAGAGATTGAGGCCCCATTGTCACACAGTTGTATGGTTTGCAGGGCAAATAGTGCTCATTCCCATTGCTGATGACAATTTTTATGCACTAGCTTCTTGGCTTGTTGAACCAGTTCTTGTTTTGCTGCTTCCTCTATTATTTTCTGTTGTGAGGCTTTTACCTCTTCCAGCCTTTGGTTTGTGTTTTCAGGACTTGTAACTGACTTGCTCATCCCAGATACCTGGTATAACCTGAGGCACCCTGATTTCCATAATTTTCTTAGGTACAAAATTATCTGAGAATTTCACTCTCTGGCTACGTCTAGACTGGCATGATTTTCTGCAAATGCTTTTAACAGAAAAGTTTTCCGTTAAAAGCATTTGCGTAAAAGAGTGTCTAGATTGGCACAGATGCTTTTCCACAAAAGCACTTTTTGCGGAAAAGGGGCTGTGCCAATCTAGATGTGCTTTTGCGCAAAAAAGCCCCGATCGCCATTTTAGCCATCGGGGCTTTTTTGTGCAAAACAGTACTGTGCTGTCTACGCTGTCCCTCTTGCGCAAATGATTTATGCAAGAGGGCTTTTGCCCCAACGGGAGCAGCATAGTATTTCCACAAGAACACTGACAATCTTACATGCGATCGTCAGTGTTCTTGCGGAAATTCAAGAGGCCAGTGTAGACAGCTGGCAAGTTTTTCTGCAAAAGCAGCTGATTTTGCAGAAAAACTGGCCAGTCTAGACACAGCCTCCATGTGTCCCCCTTAATATCTCAAGGGAAGGGTTCTCAGGCACCTTGCTTCCTTTGCAGTGGCACTCTTGAGGGTTCAGTATTATCAGTTTCCATATATGTCTCTATCCTTGACATCAGCTCTTGAGTAGAAGTTGACTGAAACCTCCTAACCTGACTCTGGGCTCCAACAAGCAAGACTCTTAGGAATTGTTCTAGAGATACAAAGTCCCTCACCTTGTATAATGAGATAATGTTAGGCTGCAACCACAGCATTGCCAGATCTTGTAAATGTTGTGCTGTTACTCTAGGGCACAGCTTCAGAGGCCTATATTGGTGGTATGCTTCCGGGATCAGTCCCAGTCTATCCAGAACAGCCTCTTACAGTTTTGTAGAACCATGCCCTCTTGTCAGAAAAAGCTCAATGGGTCCAGTCAAGTGGCCCAAAAGAATTTAGCCCACCCCACAGTGGTCACTACCATCTAAAAAATGTACAGAAACCCCTTTTGGTCATCACTTGAGTCTGTTTTTGCCAGGCCTGATCCTGGTCTAGCCAAATTCTTTTTCCAAAACTACCCAGCTCCTGAGGATCTGCTTTTCTAGGCATCACAGAAAATGTTCTTACTGAGTTTTTTCAGCTTCTTGCTGTTGTTGCTGCCCTTGTAATAGATGCAGCAAACAAGCTGGTGTCTGCTCTTATTGGGCTACAAGCACACAGACTACCTCTTCCATCTTCCCAAAAGAAAGAAGTATTTTAGTCTGGCCCTCATTTTTATAGTTATCGATATTTCCCTCACTCCTTGAAGAGGAGCCTCTAAACCCCATTTCTAGTATCACATGTAAGTGCATGCCCTCACCTCTAGGGCTCCTCCCTCATGCCTGGATGTAGGGCTCCTAATGACTTTGCCTCTCACACACACCTTCTAATAGCCATTTTCTTGGCAGGGTCTTCTACCAGGCAGTTTTTCCCCTGTACTCCCTCAACATGGTCTTCTACATGGTTCATCCTTATGACAAGTCACACAACAGTTCAGTTTCCTTCCTTAGTTCAACTCTACACCCCTTCTGATTCCAAACACAAAGACTCTTCACCCTTCCTGGACTTGACTTTAATTCCCTTACTTTTGTAGGCTCACACTTCTCTCCATCAGAAAGACCTATCTCCTCCACACTCTTCCCTAAATGAGTGTCCTCAGTTTACTTATATATATGTCTTTGCTCCATACACTCTCCAGGAAGTAATCGTTAACCTTCCCCCCCCCCCCCTAGGTGCAGAACATGATTGAGACCTTTCTCTTGCTTTTTAGGTGAGAGGGGTTAAGCCCATCACAGGGCCTTACACTAGTGTAAATGAAAACTAACTCAAATGAAGTCAGTAGTTCTACATAAATGTAAAACCATCATACATGAGACAAGAATTGGGCCCATTTGCTCTGTTATTGTGTTACTACATGAATCATCCTAAATGTGTAATCAAAACATTTCTTCAAAAAGTTTAGTCTGCAAACTTAAGACTTGCTCCCACTGAAGTAAATAGCAATATTTTCATTTGGCTTTAATCATAGCAGGATAAGACTCCAGCAAATAATTTTATCTCACTAATAAATTAATGTACTTAAAATATATGGATTGACTTCCAATCAGAGCTGCAGGCACTCAGTATTTGTGAAGCTTAGGCTATTACTTTTTTAATCTTGTTCAGAATAAAAATTTCCCCCAAATGCTGACATTGGTATGTGGTGCCAAGCTGAATTATTTTTATAACTAAATTATACACATTTCAGAACTAGTGTTTTAACAGAAACTATAAAATACCCTTATTCCAACTGTATTTCTAGTCTTTGCTATAATATCAGAAGAATATGGAATTACTCACCAATACACATACACTAATTTGCTTCTCACTTCCCTGTTCAGTAAGGACAGAGTGTTTCCAAATGTCCTGAACTGTACAAGGAGCAAGTTGGAAACTGTTATATTGAAGAGATGTGTTAGTTTAAAACCTGAGACTATACAAGAAGATTTTCTTTGTAAATGTCTCAGAGGGGAAGCAGTTCTCTGTAAATGTTAATATTAAAATTGAACTGCTCCATCTAGTGGTAAATTATTATAACTGATCATTTTACTCTAGTTTGTGTTTAATCCTGTTAAAAATTTGGGGACCAAATCCTTCTCTTCTTTCTTGTGCAACTCATCCAGCTGATGCTGGTGGGACTACACATAATTAATCCCTCAGGATTTTGCATTTTACTTTAGAACAAGCAGGATTGGAATCTGTGTTCTTTGGTTTGGTTTGTCCTCTGGAAATAAAGAGATTTAGCTGTGTAAATAATCAGATATTTCGTCTGTATCTTGATGCCAATCTTTTTTGTTTAAAAAAAAAAAGACTCAAAATACAGTTAAAACTTTGGAATTCAAAGGTATATATTTGGAATACAGTGCAAGATGACATTCTGCTGCTGAATGATTCTCTTCTAAACCAAACTTGTTATTAATGTTGCTTTTTCCCTTCAGCGACATGCATAATGTTTGTGATGTTTCTTTTAATTTTAGTTGGCTCAGCAATTCGAATTTTCACACCAGTGTACAAAAAAGGTGGTAGAGGGAATCCAGATTGGATGGCCAGAGAAAAGGAGAGAAGCAATAGAGGCAGAGACTTTGAAATTCAGTCTTGAATTCAGATTGATATCTGATAACTTTGGGAGGACATTTGGACAAAATGGTAAGCTGCTCCTTAAAAGATATTGCATTTCCTTCTTGGCTCCTGATGTGATCCCAAATGCAGCTAGCTAGCTGCAGTAGTTCACATGTTCAAAGGTGCAGAGTCACTTCAAGCAATGAGTACAAGGAAGAAGAAACCTAGCCCCATGTGGGGGGGAGGCAAAATATTTAAAAATAAAACAGCCAAAAGGGGGAGGCTGTACCAAGAAATGTATGAATGAGAAGGGGGAAAGTACATGTAACCCCCAAGGAGATTACTTGGATTCCCTGGGGCCTTGTCTGCTGGCAGCTCAGGGAGAGGTACTCTGATTTTGCCTTGGCTTCCCCTCCCTACCAGGGCCAGAGTCTGCTGGGCAACCCATGGGGAGTGAGATGCCCCTCCCAGGGGGAAGGAGAGACCATTGTTGAGAGAAGTCTGGAGCCAGCCAGGGCAAGGGGAGGACTGGCTGTGTGGGAGCTAGTAAGCCCCAGGCCTGCATGCAGGGGTCCCCCTGAGAACTAGCCTCTAGGGACCTGAAGGCAGGATCCCTCAGCTGGGTTTATGTCTCCACTGTTGATTCCCAGTTGTGGAGTTTGCTGGGAGGCTTCCCCAGCCAGGCTGAGTTGGCTCTCCAGCTCCCTGGGTGAGAGGAGGCACCCTTGGTCAGCTTGGCTTTAGCAGCAAGTTCAGGGCTGCTGCCTGCTGTGTGGGTCTGAATGCTGGGCTGGGAGGCTGTAGTTTTGAATTTTGGTGCAGTTGTGTGGTCTGCACCTTGAGCCCTGCACTCCTTCACGGTGAGGGGAAATTCTGGGACCGAAGCAGCCTGGTTCCTGCTTGAAGAGGATCCCTGCGAGAAGAGAGCAGCCCTTTGCAGAGACTGAGTCATCTCTCAACCTGAGGCTCATTCATGGAGTGTGTGAGTGCACCAATTTTTAGTTAGTAAGTCAGGGAATTTGTTTGGGGATTTTATTACCTGCAGCATATTAAACCTGTGGAGGGATTTACTGCCTTCTCCCATTTGTGAGTCCTTTGGGCTGTACTGGACCTAGTCAGCTCCACTGCTAAACCACTGCAGAGAAGGATTGTGTGGTCAACAGTCATCAAGGGCCCCAACAAAGTACGCGTACCAACGGGACACTAACCTCACAGTTGCTGGGCACCGGTGACCCTAAAAATAGTGTTTTACCCTGTTCTGTTATAATTGTCTCCTGTTTAATATAATTGTGTTTATTATAGTGTATGTGTTTGTGTTATTTTCTGGGAGTCTCCAACTATCTGGCAAATATGTGGGGATTATCCTGGGCTAGAATTTTCCTCCCAAGCTGCCCTGGTGACCCTGCTAGGAAGAAGTGAGGGAGGTGGAGGCACCGCCAAGTACATCAATCAGAAAGAATAAAATTGAGTGGGTGGCGGGATCCAGAAGAACCCAGTCCTATCCATCCAAACCTGAAAGATGATTGGCTTTAAAAGAAGGTAACCAGGTGGAGAGGGGGCGCTACATACAAGCAGAAAAAGACATAAAGGGAGAGGAGAAAATGTTGCCTACAATAAATTTAACAGTTAGGATGAGATCACTGCCTATCATGCTGACCAATATTCTCTTATTGTTTCCTTATACTCCCCTGTCTGTCTCTCTGTATCCATATGTAGTCTCTCTCCTTTTTCGATGGCAAGCTCTTTGAGGGACTCTTTGTTATGTTTTTGTACAGTCCCTAACACTGGGCCCTTGTCCAGGAATGGGGTCCTAGGTGTTACTATAATACAAATGGGTAGATAAAAAGGTTATGGTGATAGCTATTCTGGGGGATGAAGCAAGGGGACACATAGGCTACGTCTAGACTGCAGAGTTTTTGCGCAAAAATGGCTGTTTTTGTGCAAAAACGTGCGGAGTGTCCACACCTCAAGTGCGTTTTTGCACAAGTAAATTGACAAAACGGAGAGGTTTTTGCACAAGAGTTATTCCTCTTTCTACAAGGAATAACTCCTTTTTGCGCAAGAGCTCTTGCATAAGAAGGTTTGTGTGGAAGGGGAACTGCCTCTTTTTGCGCAAAAAATCCCTATAAAAAAAGCACAGGTGCCCTGGTGGCCATTCTGTGAATAGCTATTAGCGCTTTCTTTCAAGAGAAAGAGAAAGTGTCCATGCAGTCTGGATGTTCTCTTGCACAAAAGCGCATCACTTTTTCAATGCGCTTTTGCAGTGTGGATGCTCTCTTGCACAAGAAGCTTTTGCGGAAGATATCTTCTACAAAAAGCTTCTTACTCAAGAAGCCTGTAGTGTAGACATAGCCATAGAGGTAACCATTTGCCAGTCTGTCTCATGTAGCGATCAAATAAAAAGATCTTGGGAACTGTTGCCCAGGTAGTTATTTTTATCAGGTCTATTACAATTTTTTAAAAATCACTCAAATAAGGGTATATGAACCATACATGGCTCAATTCTGGATAGTTTTTAGTTTGACTAACTTTTCTTTCTGCTGAACAGCGATGGGCCTGGCACTCACTCCCACCTCATTATTTGCATTTTACATCTGGTTCATATCTCTAAAGAGCAGAATCAAAACTTTGAAAGCAGATTAAGCTAAATCAGAAAAAGACATTCTTATTGCAGAATAAGAGGACAACACAGGGAGTTATACTAATGTTGCTATTCTGATTGAATAGTACTGGAATACCAACATTGGTAAATGGCTTCATGTAGAAAAGCCTTTTGTTTCTCAGCCATCTAGCTTACTCCTTTTGTGCATCACTTTACCTTTACAAAAAGAGAATAGACAAGTGTCACTAATAATCTTCATGTACAGAAAATAGAAGTCTTATGCCAGGGCTATTTGAAGTTCTCCAGTGTTTCTGAGCTAATATGTACCTCATGTCATTTCATTAATCTGACTCTTCATTGCTACATAGTACTTTCTCTTGCAGATTGATAGACTCTGCTGTAGTGGAGGGGATTTGTGGTGGCAAACAGCTGGATTTGTGAACTAGGCATAGCAGGGAAAAAATAGGATTCTAAGATAACTCATAATTAACATATTTTCTGCACTTTGGCTCCTTGGAGCACATGTTTTCCCAAGGCTTAAATTCAGTTGGAGCCCACCGGAGCAGAGCTCTGGTAAATATTTTCAAACCCAGGGGAGCCTCAGCACCTCCTGTGAGGCAGAAACCCTGAATGGAAAGTAAGCAGCGGACTCTGGGAAATAATCACTGAGAATTTTAGTATTTTCCTCACTATTTGAACTTCAGGATGTATCTGGGTGGATCAATCAATTGCAGATTTCTACTTCCCAGAGAAAAAGACATGAAGAAGGCAGGGTGCAGTATTCCATCTGATTCAGGACAAAACATATTCAAAGAGAAGGAGGAATGATAAGAAAGGCAAAAGTTTCAGTTGAGTTCGTGCATGTGGGTGTGATTCAAAGGAATTGGATCTGTGAATTGTGGTTGGATGTTGGAAAGGAGTTTGTTGCACAGATGTAGGGTACTGTATGTCAATGCATTTGGCTATTGTCATGGTTTGTGGTTAGAAATAGGAGGTTCATGTCTTTTTCATTGGTGATTTTATTTTTAGTTAAACAGTTGCATTCATTTGAAAATGTGCTTGGACTATCTTAGCCATTAGCTAATGGCATTTTTTGTGTGTGAGTATTGTGAAGGAATATTTGGATCATGATTTTACATGAGTAGAGTCCAAATTCTTACACAAGAATACTAAAGTCCTAGAACCTTGAGGTTCACTGGCAATTATTTTTTAAAACTCCTAGTATAAAGTAGAGGCCCCTAAGAACTGCCAAGAGTGAATGGTGGGATTGTCTATAAATAGTAAATGAAAAGGGTTTGAGAAGGCAGGAGGAGGTGAAAGGAACTAAGAGAATTACATACCAATCAGTGCAACTTCAATTTCAGGAAAGACTTAAAATGAGTAATTAGAGAGTCAATCTGTGGCCAATTGAAAAGGAACAGTGTGATAAATAACAGCCAGCATGGGTTTGTTCAATCAGTCATGTCAAACTAAGAATCAATCATGTCAAACTAACCTAATTTCCCTCTTTGATGAGATAACTAATTGAGTAACTAAAGAGAATGTGGTGGATACCTTGATTCTCGAAAGGTATCAGATGTAGTAGCATATGGTTTTCTAGTAGGGAGATTGGAGAGTTGTGTGATAGATAGGACTATAATAGAATGGATTAATTTGGCCCATAACCCTCCCTTTAAGATAGAAAGGAAAATAATTTTAACCAAGATAAGCATAGTCTTATTTACAGGATGCCACATCCCCAGAATGCTTCATTGATGGCTTCAGACATCTGGGAATCAGGATAGATAAATTGTTTCTATTATAAATTATCTCATTGTTTTGTTTGAGGTCCAATCTGGACCCACTTTTGCTCTACAGAAAACAGTCTGAACTCGTGTCAGCTTCAAGAGAAGTAGGAGCAGTTCCTACAAGGCATATCATTCCTGCCTTACCCAACGTGAGCAGTAGGCTCATAGGGAATTACACTGCAATAAAAGTGACTCTGGGACCTACTGAGACTGTAACCTGACCCCAAATGCTTAAACGGTGGTTTTACTTCCCCAAAGCCTGAGCCCTGATATGGGGCTTTTTTTGCAGTATAAACATACTTATGGAAGCCAATCGAACTTCTTAAATAAATAAAAGCCAGGGTCACTTGCTGCGGGTTGGGAGGGCAGTTGCTTCCACAGACATTGGTTTGCTCACCCTCCCCTCAATTTTTCATAGCTCCTCACCAGCTGAATTTCAAGGGTCTTCCTGAAGGGAGGGTGGGACACTGCTGCACAGGGCTCATATTCACCATGTTGTCACCTTTGCCCACCTCCCTCCACCAGTTGGACAGGAAAGAGTTGGGTCAGAGCTGAGCATGGAGCAAACCCTATCACAGACCAGCCATCAGTGTCCACCCCACCCTCGCCTACTGCTAATGGTACTGGAGGGGCTGGAAAAATTGGAAGTCCAAGCCAGGTTGTAACACTGCTCATTGAAATTTGGTCTGGATGGGCCT